ATATAGACCAGGCTGGACTTGATCTCACAGAGATCCACTGGCCTCTGCCTCCTGAGTGCTGGAATTAAAGGTGTGAGTCACTGTGCCCAACTCCTCCCACCAAACTTAATATACTCTTTAAATATATGCACATATATTTATAAGGCCTAAACAGTCTACTCTGTGTCTCCAAATATGCAAAAGTCCTTAGGAAAGGACTTTCTTTTTTATTGTTATTTTTATTTTATGTGTATGCATATATTGCCTGCATGTAGGTAAGTGCACCCTCGTCATGCAACACCAGCAGAGGATGGAAGAGGCTGTTGGATTGTCTGGAACTGGCGTTATGGATAGCTGTTAGCTCCATATGGGTGCTGGGATTTGAACCTGGGTCTTCTGTAAGACCAACCAGTGTTCTTAACTGCAGAGCTATGTCTCTAGCCCCCAGGAAAGGACTTTCTTTCTTTCTTTTTTTTTTTTTTTTTTGGTTTTTTTGAGACAGGGTCTCCCTGTAGCCCCAGCTGTCCTGGAACTCACTATGTAGACCAGGCTGGCCTTGAACTCACAGAGATCTGCCTGCCTCTGCCTCCTGAGTGCTGGGATTAAAGGCATGTGCCACCACGCCTGGCCGGAAAGGACTTTCTTAATAAGACTCCACTTGTTCAGGAAATAAGGCTAACAATCAACAAATGGGATCTAATGAAATTAAAAAGCTTCCACGCAGAAAAGGAAACTGTTAATCAAGAAAAGAGCCTACAGAACTGGAGAAACCTTTGCCAGCGATACATCTGACAGAGGGTTAGTATTTATAATATATAAAGACCTCAAATAACTAAACATCAACAAAACAAACAACCTAATAAAAACGAGTTATGAAATTGAACAGTTCTGAGAAGAAGAAATACAATTGTTTGATAAATGTCATAGAAAATATTTATTATCCTTAGCCATCAGGGAAATACAAATTAAAACTATTTTGAGGTTCTATAGCTGTTATCAAAAAATAACGACAAATACTTATGAGGCTATGGGTAAATGGGAACCCTATTCACTGTTGGTGGAACTGTAAAATGGTCCAGACACTATGGAAATCAGTGTGGAGATTTCTCAAAAAGCTAAAAATAGGGGGTTGGGGATTTAGCTCAGTGGTAGAGTATTTGCCTAACAAGCACAAGGCCCTGCCTGGGTTTGGTCCTCAGCTCCAAAAAAAAAGATAAAAATAGAACTTTCATATGACCCAGCTACACCACCCCTTGGCATATACCCCAAAGACTCTGTATCCTACTACGGAGATACTTGCTCATCAGGTTCATTGCTGCTCTATTCACAATAGCCAGGAAATGGAATCGGCTTTGATGTCCATCAACTGAAGACTGGATAATAAAAATGGCATATTTACACAATGGAATTTTATTCAGCTAAGAGAAAAATTATGAAATTTGTAGGAAAATGGATAGAATTGGAAAATACTATGGGAGTTAGGCAGCCCAGGCCTAGAAAGTCAAACACATGCTCTCTGTCCAGTATGTGGATCCTAGGTTTAAATTCTTAGATTAGTATGTTTAACTTGGCGTATCTCTAGAGGCCAGGAAGCTAGAAAGGGGCCATTAGAAGAGGAGGGAAAGAAAGGCCTTGACGGAGGGGGATAGAACAACATGATACGAGCACAGAGGAGGGGATGCCAGGAGTGAAAAGGTTTATGTGGGATGGGATGGAGGACAGGAGAGAGACGAGGGTGGGGGAAGGCTAACCAAAACCAAGGTGTATGGAGAAGCCATGTGGAAACCTAATATTTTGTAGCCTCATTCATTCTTTAAAATATTTAAGAATACAGTTTTAAAAAATTTGAATGGAGGTACCCTGCATGGTGGATAATACTCCTTCTAGAGGCCATGGGTTTTAAAATCCCAGCACCATGATAGGATACCTTCCTATGAGGTGTTTGTCAGGAAGGCCCCAGAGGCCTACAAAATGATACACACTGTTGTCATTATCCTTGGTTGCCCACCAGACCTAGATGGTCTGTGATGAGGATTTCACTGATGTGGTTTCTTTCAGCTCTCTACAACTTTGCAGAGGAGGAAAGGGAGGCCGAGAGACAAAAACTGGCCCAACCATGCACCTGTGGACAGGTAGAGCTGCCATCCAAACCCAGTACTTGTTAAACCTACAGCCTGTGTTTCTAAGTCCTGAGCTCGCCACCCCCAGGAATAGAATCTTTCTCCCTCCCTCTCCCCCTCCCCTTCACCCTCCCTTCCTCCCGTCTCACCCTTCTGGCTATGCGTGGGTTCTCTGGGTTGTCCTTCACAGACACGGTCAACTTGTACTCTGGGATCTGCTCACGGTCCAGGGGCCGGTTCACGGTGACGATCCCTGTCTGGGATGTGCCGAGCTGGTGAGCTGAGTCGCACCTTTCCCCACAGATGCCAGTGCTCTGCCCACAGTTTCAGGGTGGTTGGAGTTCCCTCCCCAAAGTGTCTGAGAGATGAGGGCCAAATGTGGGCACCAGGATCTTGCCAGGGTGAGGGTAACCCAGCGATGCCCAGATCTGGTTAACCTCAAAAGAAGGGATGTTGGAGAACCCTGAGTGCCAGCAGTCTGCAAACACTCCAAGAGGCCAAATGAGGACTTCGGGTGCACCTCAGTATGGCTCAAGCCACCCCAGAGGCTTAGGCTCTGTCTGTGCCCAGGACAAGCCTTGGGTGGGGTTGGAGGAGGGAGGCTGATGGGCACCAGAAATGGCTGTTCAAGAAAACTGAGAGACTACTGGTTAGAACTGGGCTTCTGCACCATGCACCACAGCCCAAGTCAATAGCATCGAATCAGGGAAACTGTGTGGTTGATGCAGGAGACCCCAGTGTCAATTAACTCAGTTATAAACAAATAACTGGCCAATTGATAAAGCTGTGGCCAATAAAGCTGCTTCTGCCTCTGTTCTGTTTAATTAACACCACTGGAACGCATTGCTGGCTGGAATTCCTAGAACTTTCTGTTTTATTTTAGTTTATTTTAGACAGGGTCTCTTATAGCATAGGCTGGCCTCAAACTCACTATATAGCTGAGGATGACCTTGAATTCCTGATCCTCCTGCCTCCACCTTCCAAGTGCTAGGATTACAGATGTGTCATCACCACAGTCAGTTTATTTTTTGAGACAGGTTCTTTTACTCTGAGTTCCAGGTTGGCCTTGAATTCAGTAATCCTCCTGTCTCAGCCTCCCAAAGGCCTGGGATTCAGGTGTATGTCATCACTCATGGGCTTCCTTAGAAATTGTTTGAACTGCTGCCGCCCAGGCTCTGGGCCCAGTTCCTTCTCTGGGATGAGAGAGCCTCTGTCCTAGCCTGAAATCTGGGGTTCCCCATTGAGCATTTATTTTTTTAGGGAGAATTTGGGGGCCCCAGGCAGGTCTCAGCCTACCGTGGCGTTGATGAAGAAGGCCCGCTCTCTGTTGCCTGCTGTGATGTTGAAGGTAAGAAGTGCGTTGCAGCCACTATCAGCATCATTAGCCAGGATGTGGGCAACGAAGCTGGAGACAGGGCTGTTCTCATTGATGGTGATATTCATGGGTAGGTTCAACAGCACAGGATCATTGTCGTTGATGTCCAGCACTCGGATCCCCACAAGCATCTGGGGCCAGGGAAGGGGGTGGGGGAAACCAGGGGTGGATGTGACCATGGAGGAGGAAGAGGAGGAGGGGACAGAAGACAGCAAAGATATCAAGAGAGGGAAGTTTGAAAAGAGGAAGATTAAGAAAAGATCAAACCGGTGAGGATGAAGAGGAAGAGGAGGGGAATGAAGGAGGTAAAGGGAGGGGGGAGGGGGAGAGGAGGAGGGGGAGCCAAGTGACAGTCCTGGGCCAGGAGCAGAGGCCTCCAGGAGACAACCTCTTGTGAGGGTGCTGTGCAGTGACCCAAGTTACTCCATTTTTCCCATAGCAGCTATTTCAACAGTGACTTCTGTTCCATTTATGAAAAATACCCAGAAGGGGGGAAACCTTGAGTCCCAAGAAAATGGCCTAACCATAAAACTGAGAAATATGTTGATCTGGGACATCCTGCATCCAGCTAACTTCCTTGCTCTGCAATTTCAGGTCACCTTGACATGTAGTATGAGACCACCCTGCTATTCAGTGACCATCTGGTAACTGCTGATTTTGACTTCTGTTACAATGCTTGTTATGGCTAGGTAGTTGACTAATTTTAAAATTGCCGAGTTGTACACTTGCCTCGCTTGCCCACACAGTAACAGACTGTTGATTGATAATTCAAATTCTGCTGTGTTGTACAAACCTGATTGGCTCACAGATGTTCTGTTTAAACTATGCTTTCTGTAATCCTATAAAAAACCCTAAATCATTAATATTCGGGGGCTGCTTCTATTCCCGAGATAGAAAGGCCACTGGTCATAATAAAATATTACCTTGCTACTTTCTACTGAAATGGTGTTGGTGATTGTGTGCGAACTCCACCCTGCAACATGCAGGAAGTACCCTGGAAAGCTAGAGCCCCCAGGGATGAGCCTGAAAGACACCTATAGTCTCTCTGGGCTAAAGGTGACAGTGCTTGCCAGAGTCTTCAGGGAGTATCAAGGTATGCCATGGAACTGGGCTGGACTCACCGTGGAGCTGAGTGGGGGCAACCCCCTGTCCCGAGCACAGATGGTCAGATTGTAGAAGGCGATGGTTTCCCGGTCCAGCTCTATGTCCTTTCGGACTCGCAGCACACCCTCTACAGGAGAGATCACAAACTCTCCTGGGAGCCACCAGGAGGGGCTGGAGTTAGTTGGCAATGGCTGAGGGAGCCCAGCCTTCCCTTCCTCCAGCCAGTCTTCAGGAGGGCTAAGAGCCAAGGAAGCAAGTGCCATGCTCAGCCTCAGCCCCTCATGGGCACGGTGGGAGAGCAGTCCTGACCTCCCCATGTATATATAATTCCCTCCCCTCTAGGCCTTGAGGGAGCCAGAGACCACCCCAAGTGTAACTGCTGTGTTGCAAAAGGGGGTGGGGTGGGAGTTCTTTGTTTGTGGTTTTTTTCCTTGTGAGACAGTTTCATATGGCCCTGGCTGATCTTGAACTCCTAACCCCTCTATCTCCACATCCCAAGAGCTGGGATTCCAGGTGTGTGCTATCACATCTGGCTTGTGGCTGTTTATTGTGTGTTCCTACACAATAAACATCTTGACCACTGGTGTTCAGAAACTTATTAACAAAGCTATCATGCCCTTTGGAAAGCATGATCTTGAGGTGGGCTAGATTGGTAGAGGAAGCAAACTACATGGCATCTGGAGGCTGAGGCAACCCGCAGGGCCATGTGACAGTCAGATAGCATTCCACTGTGTGAAGACACAAGACGCCCCCAAGTGGGCTGCCACCACTGTGACCAAAGGAGAGGACTGTGAACTGCCCTTTGCTTTGTGCTGATGACATCATCAGCCTTGTGGAACTAGCTGTTCTCATCATGCATCAGATGTCATGTGCCACTGGAAAGCCTCATATAAGGTCAAACAAAAGGGAATAAATTATATTCTAGAAAAATCCTGGCCCATTCCTGGGATTCTCTGTCTTTTCCCCAATCCGAACACAGAAATGATACAAACTCCCCAGAGAGGGGACCCCTCTCTCCAGAAGCCTATACTTCCCCGTAACAAAACTTCCTCTCTTGGTGCTGGGGAGATGGTTCAGAGGTTAAATCACTGGCTGCTCTTGCAAAGGGCCCAGGTTTGGTACCCAGCACCCACAGGCAGTTCACAATCATCTGTAAATTTCAGTTCCAGTGGGTCAAATACCCTCTTTTGGCCTCCGTGGGCACCAGGCATGCACATGGTACACATACATACATGTAGGTGAAACACTCATACACGTACATAAAAATCTTAAATTCTTCCCAATTCCTTTGTCTCAGTTCTCAGTTCTTTTTCTGATGGTGCACTAGGCAGAGATCTCAGTCTGCTCTGTCTCTAAGGTCTCCCTAGCCTCCCACTTCTAAACAGGGAGACTAGACAGCACATTAGGACCACGTCTGCCATAAAGGGTTGCCGTCACCATGCGCTCTAGGCAGCCCCTTGGCGGGATGAGGGGCCCTGTTCAGTCTCTGGAGCCCGGCTGGAACAGGAACAAGGGTGGGACCTCCCAGGCCTGCTATAACCCTAATTTCCTTCCCTAAGGCTTCCTGGCTCAGACCTCTAGGCCTGGCTGAGAGGCAAAGTGTCAGTGTCTAAAGTCAGAACCTCAGACTTTCACATTCTGACCTGCCCTGTTGGTCATGTTCTTAGGAAACCCTTAGGACCCACAGGAGGGCAGCTATCTGTCTCTACTTCCACAGCATGTTAATGGTAGAACCGAGCTTTGAGTCCAATGGAACTCGGGGGCTTTTTTGACAACACACCTCAGAGTTGATGGGGCAGAAGGTGTGGGAAGGAGGGGTGAGTATAGGGATGTGAGTGGTGAAAGAAGATGGAGGATCACGTGAGCAAGCCTCGGTGGAAAAGGTGCTGGGCAATCCATAAGAGCATGAGGAAGAGGGGGGTTACCTCACTGCTGCACAACCCTTCAGGAACTGAGTTGGGGATAAAGTCACCCTTTTCCCTTTCTCTTGAGACAGGGTCTCACTCTGTAGCCCAGGCTGGCTGGGAACTTGAGGTGATCATCCTGCCCTAACCTCTCAAGTGATAGAATATAAGTATGAGCCACCACATCTGGTTTCTCTTCCTCATCTAGTTGGGTGTCAGGCCCAGAGCGGGACACTGACTTCCTGAGACACACAGCACAGGGGCATGGCATCAGGCCCAAGCAACCCAGTGGCTTTTCTGTCTTTCATCCAGGGCACCATTCCATACCACAGCTTCTGCCACAACAGCCCCAGTGCCCATCTGCAGCTGGGATATCCCACCAGTTCTTCCGCTCCCAGGCTCCCTTTGGCTCCCCAGGCTCCTCCCTGCCTGGGACAAGGAGGCTGCAGGAACAGGATTTCTGGTGGAGGCTCCAAGGTCTCCAGAGCATGGGGATTCCCTTCCTAGGGGTTTCCCAGCCCTGTTGACACCCTGCCCTGTGCTGGTAGATGAATGCCCTCTCCATCCGCAAAGTCAGGGAAGACCCCCAACACCCTGGAAAGCTCGGGGAAGCAGGCCTGGGGTGAGAGCTCAATCCTGGTTAGGCATAACAAGCAGCCTCCTCAGTAACAGCAGAACTCCACCACACACCTGGGGACAAGAGGCCACAGCCTTCCATTCCAGTTGTATCTAGGCTACAGCCTGATTTTAAACCAAGTCTTGCCTTGATTGTTGCATCTTGAAAATGAGCTGACAGGTAGACATAGTCTCAGGATAGGCTAGTAATAAACAAAGCCTGACCCACAGCAGCTCTTGATATAGGAAGGGAATTCTGAAAGGGAGCCCAGGGCCGTCTCGGGGACTGGAAGCTTGTGGGGAGGATGAGGAGGTGGGTGTTGTACAGAGCTGCCCTCCAGGCCAGACAGAGGGCATCTTCCTGAGCTCAGCTGTGTCTGCTTGTAAAAAGTCATCACAGTTGGGCTTGTTGACTGTAGATATCCCCACACAGAAGGAAGGGTAGAGAGGACACTCCTCCCAACCCATAGTGGGCAACTGGGCCCTAACTGCACAAGACCTCGGGGGATGGCTAGAGAATCTAGGCCAGGGAAGACTAATGGAGAGGGGCTCCATTTATACAGCTATGGGGAACCAACATTCACGCTTGGATGAACACTCTTCAGTGCCCTGCCTTAGAGGGGAGGGCACACCCACACTCCTGTGAGTAACCCCTCACTCTGTAAGTAAGCCCAATAAATGCATTGGTTTCCCAGAGTGCACTTGGGTGGAATTGTACCTCAGATTGTTGTTGGGACTAAGGGAGGAGGGGTGGACCCCCAGAAGAAATTTTAGCAACAGTGAGAAGGGGTCCCAGGATGACCAGAAGGGGCAGTTGAAGGTCCTGGTGAGTCAGGGTGGGTGGGAGACGCCTAAGCTTGTGTGGCCTGTTTCCCTGGCTATTCTCTGTCTACATGGCTTGCTGGAGCTTGCCAGTGTGACGGTCCTGAGGTCAGAGTATGGCTGGTAGGCTCAAAGAGTTACAGAAAGACCCTGTCTCTGGTGCAAACTTGAGCGACAGAATGAAGAGAAGTTTGTCCAGCTTCGAGGGCTTTAAGGGGACTTGGCATTTACTGAGTGAGGTGGACATGAAAGGGGCACTGAGGAGGGGAGAGACATTACTAAGGTTTTAAGGAGTCCACTGGGGTTCCTGTGCTCAGAGCATTGTGGGGTGAAGAGATGGGAGCAGGGAAGTCAGGTGGGAGTCTAGCACAATCACGCTGGCTAGAGATAGGGAAGGCAGCTAGGACCAGGTACAGGAGCAGGCTCAGGCTGTGTGTTGGGAAGTGGCCTGGGCATGTCCCTTCATCTAATGAGTGAAAACAGGCCCCAGTCCCACAGGCCCTAGTGTCTTATTAGGTAATCCTTGCCTCTCTGGGCCTTTCTGTGCTGCTTCTGAGTCGGGGCAGTGCTCATACTCCCAAAGCTATCTTTGGGCTCTGAGTATTTGCTCTCCTTCTCTGACCAGGGCCAGCCTCAGGGGTCTCCCAGGCCTGTCTTCCTTTCTCTAGGATACCTCCTTAGGCCCCACCCCAGGGTCTCACTATGTAGCCCTGGCTGTCCTGGAACTCTCTATGTAGGCCAGGCTGGTCTTGAACTCAGAGAGACTGGCTTGGCTTGCCTTTGCCTCTGGATTACTAAAAATATGCACCACTATGCCCAACAGGGGCTCCAGATTCTTAAGGCTGATCCCCATAGTATGTGGATTTAACCTAGGAGGACTCTTTCCTTCAAAAGCCTGGGGCATGGAGTGGTCTCTGTTGTGCTGGGCACAGGTGTGGGTCCTAGACCCTGGGCTGGATATGTGAAGCAGGCCCCTTTCTTGGTGTGTGGGGGGGGCTTAGCTGCTACCCCTCCCCCCAACTCTTCAGCACCTGCTTCTTAGCCAGGCACTGGCATCCTCCAGCCTAGGACTAGAGACCTCATGTAATAAGAAACTTCTGCCTATGGGAGAGAAAGAGAAGCCAGGGGCAGGAGATGCTGGTTTGGAAGAAGAAGGCAGTATCTAGAGAGGAGAGTTCAGACCATGAAAAACTGTCAGGACAGTCAGCTGCTGCTACTCTGAACAGGAGGGCTCCAACCTGGCTCTCCAGAAGCAGGCTGTTTTTCCTTTCAGGGCCCTAACTGCTGGTCAGCCCAGGTTCTGTTTCTGCCTAGGCCCTTGTATTGCTTGCTTGTTCTGTGTGCATTTGTTTATGTTGTTTTGAGAGGCGGTCTCAAGTATCAAACTTCTTATGTAGTTGAGGCTGACCCACCATACATGGTTTATGTGGTTGTAGCCTTGTGCATACTAGACAAGCACCGTACCAACAAAGTCACACACCCAGCCCCATAGAGCTCATGCCTTGCAGTCTCCCCCACGCTGACAACTCACTCTTGCCTGGCTCAAGCCCCACCTCTCTTGCACTGGGGGGTCTACAAACATGCCCACCAGCATCTCATACCACAGCCCCTTTCCCTCCACCCCTGGCCCAGCAAGACCAGCCTTCCCCAATGCTCAGAATCACCCCTGACTGCCTTGCACACCCCATATACAGTAGAATGGTAGCCTGAGGAGGTGGCCTTTGGAATATTCGAGAGCCTTACCACCACCCTGGGCCCTAGCCACCCCATCTCCAGCCAGAGTCTTTGCTGTACCAGACTCTCATCTGGCTTTGCCACTCCCATTACTTCATCCCACAGTCTGCTATGAGCACAGGTACCAGAGGGGTCCCCTGAGAGCCCAAGTCAAGTCACGTCCCACCCCACGCCTGCTCAAAGCCCCCATGGAGTCCACGTCACTCAGTAAGCACTAAGTACTCTTAATGGTCTTCAAAGTCAGACAGCATCTCTTCTCATCTTGCTCATGTTAATGTCAGACACTGGCTTTTTGCAGTTCCTTGAGCCTACCAGGCATGCTCTGACCTCAGGACCTTTGTACTTGCTGCTTTCTCTGTAGGGGTTACTGTCTCCCAGCTATCCACCTGACTCATTTTTGTGTGTGTGTGTCCCTTCACACCTGGCACATGGCCAGCACATAGTAGGCACTCTTCAATAGTCATGGATCGATCAGTTAGATTTAGTGTCTGGGTTTCTTTTTAAGAATTGGAAGGCAGAGCTGGGCGTGGTGGTACACACCTTTAATCCCAGCACTTGGGAGGCAGAGGCAGGTAGATCTCTGTGAGTTCAAGGCCAGCCTAATCTACATAGTGAGTTCCAGGCCAGCTGGGGCACCCTGTCTCAAAAAAACAAACAAAAAACAAACAAACAAAGAAACAAACAAAAAAAAAAACCCAAAACAAAAACAAAACCAAAGAACTGGAAGGTAGGGCTGGATAGATGGCTCAGTGGTAAAGAACACTGTCTGCTCTTGCAGAGGACCTAGATTTGGTTCCTAGCACTTACATGGTGGCTAACAACCATCTGTAACTCCCAATCCAGGGGCTTCGATGTCCTCTTCTGGCCTCCTCGGGCATTGCATACATGTGAAGCACTTACATACACGCAGGCAAAACACTCATACAGATAAAATAAACCAAAAAATAGGATGACCTAGCACTCTTGGAACCATGTGGATGACTAGCAGCAGCCACAGACCTACCACTCCCTATTACTGTCTTTGGAAGGCCCCTTTTCCCACAGATACTCTTGATTCCCTCAGCCTTGGGGCTGGGATTCCTGCTCTAATGAGAGTGTTTTGAGAAGGTGGCTTCCCAGCCTCTGTCCTCTAACCCAGGACAGCTGCCATGACAGCTGTGCAGATTTTTGGTGGGTGATGCTAAGGTGTTCAGAGGAATCCCAGTGCTCCCTGAATGTGTGCCTGGAGTCCTAGGGTCATGGGGTACATGTAGTGAGGATGTTTGTCTTCCTGGAGACATTTCCTTCCCCAGATGGTCTGTAATCCCCCAGATGCCAGGACAGTCTCTATCACTGTGTGGAAAGGGTGGGAAATGATTCCCACCAGTATTTTATGGGTGGGTAACTGAGGCCCCACCCATAGTGTGGAGACCTCCCTCATCCCACTCCTGAGCAGGTAGAAAGGCCCCTGGGTCATACCCATCACACCGCCCAGTGTAGGCCCCACTCACCCAATGGGTCTCCACCCACGATGCTGTATTCCACCTGTCCGTTGGGGCCCGAGTCCCGGTCGTGGGCCAGGAAGGTCCACACTCTGGGCCCCGGCTGGCCCTCGGTGACATCAAATGGTCCTTCATAGTCCCGAGGGAAGGTGGGCACGTTGTCGTTGATGTCATTCACATTCACGAGCACCTGAGACAGCAGACAGCTTAGCCAGGGCTGGGCCCGGCTGCTGCAGGAGAATCAGCAACTGCACCTGTAAACCTGGTCTGGTGCCGGTGCTCCATGGGCTGAGGCAAGAATTGTGTAGTGTCATGGGGCAAGAGGGTACTTTAAGTTGTGCATGTAGGTGAGCTCTAAGTTTCCCTTTTTTTGTGGTGCTGGGGATTGAACCTATGGCCTTGCACATGGTAGGTAAGTATTCTACCACTGAACCACACCCTAGCCTTTTTTGACATAGTGTTTTTTCTATGTAGCTCAGACTGGCCTTGAACTTGCAATCCTCCTGCTTCTATTTCCTGTGTGTCTTCAAAAGTATAACAGATTAATGATACTCTTATGGTCTATTCATCCCTGCACTCTGTTCATCTCACATGGTCCCATGTGCTCCTCCTCCCATTCCCTGAAACAGCTTCCATTTTCCCTCTTTCATAGACAAGGAAGCTCAGGGAGGTTCAGTGACTTGCTCAGGGTCACACAGCCAGGGAGTGACAGAGCAAGAATGGGAACCACTGTTAGTTTGACTAGAAGGCATCCGTTTCCCATGAAGGGAAAGAAGACAGGTGTTTTCACAGAGAAGTTCAGTGACTGCTTCAGAAAGTCTGGGTGAGCTGCTGAGATGGATGAGAGCCCTTGAGTTGGCCTGTTTCCTCGAGACAATCTTTGCCTCCTCATCCCCTTTGGAGCCTCCTGGAACTTCCCTGCCCTTTCCCACCTCCACACTGGGGCTGTGTCCCACCTACGCACCGTGGTAGTAGAGGTGAGGCGGTGGGACAAGATAGGGCACTGGTCTGCGGCAGTGACGATGAGGGTATAGTGGCCATGACTGATCTCATAGTCCAGGTCTTTGACAGCAGAGATGACGCCCTGAGGGAAACAGAGAGGGAAAGGAGAGGGGATGATGGGTAATGGGCTTGGGACACCCTGTGATTGGACCTAGGAACAGACCTGGACAGACCCTGACATCCTAACCACAACTGCTATGTCTATGCCCATGGCAGATATCACTAATCCATCAAAGCACTGCTGAGGGCAGATGAAGCCTTATCAAGATTTTCACTCCCCATCACTGGGTAACCCATAGTTTCCTCCCAACTTCCATCTTTGCTCCTTGTGCCCATGATGTTACCAAGTTCCCCACCAAGCCCTGGAGAGGGTTTGTCCCCCTACTATACCCTGTTCTCAGATACTGACCGTGTGCCTGTTGATCCGGAAGGTGTTGATGATGTTGCCTGCCACAATGGCATAGGAGACGGTGCCGTTGGGCCCCTCATCTAGGTCCAGTGCTTGGATGGTGATGAGGCTGGCATTGACTGTGTCTGGGCCTTCATCCAGCACCACCTCATAATGTGGCTGCTGGAACACCGGAGCATTATCATTCTCATCCACGATGGTCACATACACATGGGTGGTCGCCTGGAGGGAAGAGATGGCCGGGCACCTTGGTCAGAGGGGCAGATGGATCGATGTGGATCCAGATGGCTGTTTTTTCTAGGCTGATCAGTGTGATCCAACCCAGAGAGGGAAAGACAGGAGACAGAGGGAAGTCACAGGCTAACAGAAGAAAGTGAAGAGGCTTTGTCAAGACCAAGCCAGGCAACTGTTTAGGGTCAGGATGGCACTTATATCCCCATTGCTATGTTTTATGCTCATGGTAGACATAACTAATCAATCACAACACTACTGAGGCTAGATGCAAGCCTGAGATCTTTGTCAGCACACTGACCTAGTAATTACAATTGGCATATGGAGCTGGGTGTGGTGGTACGTACTTGTAATTCCAGCACTTTGGAGGCAGAGGCAGGAGAACTGCTAGAAGTTCAAGGCCTACCTAGTCTATAGGAGACTGAAAGATCAATCAGGGTTACACCCTGTCTCAAACAAAAAACACCCCCTGCCCCACCAAAAAAAACAGGCACATGATGAACTCCAGTACCCTCCCCAACTCAGAGAGATGCCTGCTTCAGGGACTTACCTGAAGCCCTGTGATTGGTCAGTTTTAGCTGATACTTGGACCATCAGGCTATCAATAATTCTCAGCCAATCAGAGCTCAATAATCAGCACTCAAGAATGGACTACAGATAGCTGACTGGCTCTACACAAGCAGAGTAGAAAATGAAAAGGCAGCCTTGCTGGGTGCTGGCATTCCCCATCCCTTGACCCCTATTCTCTACCTGCTTCCACCTGGGAGACTGTTCCTTCCTGTCTGGCTTTCAGCATTGGCCAATAGGAGTCCCTGGCAGAAGAGAGGGAAGAGGAGGAGACAGAGGTGGGCAGGCTTCTTCTACCTCTACACCCTTCACAGCAGTTCTGTCCTGACTGTGTGTCTCCTGCTGGGACCCTTCATAACACCAGCTCTTTCTGGGGTCCAGTAATGTCCTCCCCTTTGTGAGGGTTAATATTGACATCAACTTAGAATCATCTAGGAGACAACCTATGGGCATGTCTGTAAGGGAGTTTCTAGATTAGGTTAATTGAAGTTGGAAGGCCCACTCTACGTATGGACAGCACCATCCCATGGGCTGTGGTCCTGGACTGAATAAAAAGGAGAAAGTGAGCTGAGCTGTGGCCTTTGTCTCTGCTTCCTGACTGGAGATCATGTGACCAGCTACCTCAATGTCCTGCTGTCATGACTTCCCACCATGATACTCTATTCCAGGAACTGTGAGCCAAAACAGATCCCTCCTTCCTTAGATTGCTTTTGTCACAGGAATGAGACAAGTAACATACACTCTTTTTCCCTAATGGCTGGTGCTGCCAGTGATGCCTGCCTGTGGCTGCTGGTCTCTAGGTGCCTTGCTAGCCCTCTTTAGAGAGTCCTTTCTCCAGGGGTTTGAGAGATAGCCCAGTGGTTAAGAGCACTGGCTGCTCTTACAGAGGACCCAGGTTCAGTTCCCAGAACCCATATGGTTGGTAGCTAACAACTATCCATAATTCCAGTTCCAAGGGCTCCAATGCCCTCTTCTGGCCTCTGTGGGCACTGCATGCATGTGGTGCACCTACATACACGCAGGCAAAACACTCATGCAAATAAAAATAAACAGATTTTTAAGGTCCCTCCTCCATTAAACTCTTTGGTCAAGCCTCATGTACCATTTGTTCCCACTGGGACCTTGGTTGAAACAAACCATCTGCGTATGAAACCATCTCAGTATGAAATGCCCCCATAGATTCACATGTTGAACACTTAGTCCCCAGATGAGGATGCTATTTTTGGAGGTGATGGAAACTTTGACAGATGAGGCCTAGCGGGAAAAAGTGGGTCACGATGGAGGGTCTGCCTTTGAAGATTATACCTGGTCCCTGTCCCTTCCCCTTGCACTGCTTTCCATCCACCATGAGGTAAGAAACCTCCTCCATCATATGCTCCCCCAGTCACAATGCTCAGCCCAAGCACATGAGCAAAGCATCCATGAGCAGGACCTTTTGAAACAGTGAGCCAAAATAAATCATTCTTCAAATTCTCTCAGATTTTTATTCATGTGTGTATGCATGCATGTGCATATGTGTAGAGGCCAGAGGTCAATGCCCAGTTTCTTCCCCAACCATTCACTATCTTATTTATGTTTTCATCAGTAAAACAAAGACACTCACTGATTGATTGATTCATTCATTCCATGGACTGAACCCAGGGCTTTGAATATTCTAAGCACATACTCTACTAATGAGTACATCAACAGCTCCAATAAACTTCTGTCTTTGAAATAACTTTTTTTTGGTCTTCTTGAGATGGGGTCTCCCTGTAGTCCCAGCTGGCCCGGAACTCACTATGTAGACCAGACTGGCCTCGAACTCAAAGAGATCCACCTGCCTCTGCCTCCCAAGTGCTGGGATTAAAGGCTAGAAATGACATTTTAAGGGGACAGCAAGATGGCTCAGCAGGTAAGTGTACTTACCACCAAACCAGATGATTTGAGTTCAATCACTAGGACCCACATGGTGGAAGAAGAGAATCTTCTCCCAGAACTTGTCCTCTGACCTCTACACATGCACACTGACATGCATACCCCCCAATGCAAATAAGTATAGCATTACAGAAAAAAAAAAAAGAAATCCCATTTTAACATTTAAAAACCCTGAAATTCTGGATTTGGTGCAATTTCAATGCACAAATAAGGAAATGGAAAATATCATTAAAGCTTTGCTTATTTTCATAAACCATTTATACCATAATTATATGACTGATTTATAGAAATCTGTGCTTAAAAACCTAAGACTGGGCTGATGGGATGGTTCAGCAGGTGAGGGCACTTGCTGCCAAGCCTGATGATTTGAATTTAATCCCTGGGATTAAAGAAAGAACCGAATCTGTCATGTCATCTGACCTCCATACTCACACTATGGTGCATGCATCACCCCCTAAATAAAAAACAAAAGTAATAAAAACCCTAAGACCTTGGACATATTTTCAGAAGCTGGAGATTTGAATCTTAATTGAAATACACCATTAGCAATACATTACCAAAAGTTGGATTAATTTCTATGATAATGAAAAAATACAAAACATACTTTACAGTTTTTACTTCTTTATATTTAAAATATAGGGTCATGAGGCTGGGACTGTAGTTCAATTATTAGCAGGCTTGCTTGGCATCAATGAAGCCAAGAGTTCAATTTTCATCTTAGTTTTTGAGATAGAGTCTCTTACTGAACCTGGAGTTCAGCAATTAGGCTAGAGAGCCCCAGGGACCCTTCTGTCTCTACTTCCCCAGTGCTGGGATTACAGGTGCATACCTCCATGTCCCACTTAAAATTTTATTTTTGTTTTATGTATACGGGTGTTTTGCTTGTGTGTATGTAATTGGATTATGTGCATGCAGTGCCTGCAGAGACCAGAGGAGGGCATTGGATCCTCTGGAACTGCAGTTACAGATAGCTGTTAGCCATCATGTGGGTGCTGGAAACTGAATCCATGTCCTCTGCAAAAGCAGCCAGTGCTCTTAACCGCTGAGCCCTCTTTCCAGCCCTAGCCCATGCTCTACTGTTTTTATGCGGTGTTTGGGAATTTGAACTCAGGTTCTTATGTTTCCATAGCAAGTACTTTAACCATCTGAGCCATCTCCCCAGGCCTCTCTCAGCAACAAAAAAATGTAATAAACACACCACCCATAGTGGCTACTGTGAAATAGTAGGGCCCAGACCCAAGAAGGCTGCCACTGCTCCTAGGATCGTAGCTCTGGATCTTGGGAACTGGGGCATTGGGCGTTTCCTAAGCAGGCCTGGCCTGTAGACTTGAGAGGAAGCTGTGTGATCTTGAGCACATGGCATCCCCCCTCTGGGCATCTTTTGTCTGTTACTAAAAGATCTGCCTTGACCCCTAATTATCATTAAGCCTAACTACCCGAGGAGGAGGAAAGAGAACTAACTCCCTGGAGTTGTTCTCTGACATCCATATGTATGCATGGCATGTGCACCCACACACATACTCCCAACAAATTAATTAAATTGTAAAAGAAAGATAACAAACACGCAAAGAGGGAACAGCATCATGCTAACATTTCTTGGCCTTTCTCCCTGGGGTGCTGGGCTAGCACTGAGTCTGGGAAAGGGCCTCAGCATTCTTCTCAAGAAAGAAATGGCTTCTTTCCTCCTCTGCCCTTTGCAGCGGAGGTGGGTTCTGCCCCTTTCCCTATAATGGGCTGTATGTGTATTACAATGATTGCCAGGGAAGGCTGCCATGCTTCCCTTGTGCTCTGGATTGTCCTGTGTGAGCTGTGAGTACTCACCCCACCACATACCTAGTAGCTCAGCTTGAGCCCCCAAGTCCCCTCAGCCACCACTGGGCAATAAGAACACTAGCTTCAGGGAAGTGATGGATCCACAGAAATGAACCTAACCATCATGCAAACTGCTGGGGCCAGAAGAGGGGCTCCAGCAGAGCTGCCCTTTGAATTCCTCTTGCTTTATACCAGGCTTGGATATGAATGGGGAAGGGGTCTGATCTCCTGTGGCTTCTGTACTGAGGAGGAAATCAAGCCCCCCTTGGCCTGGCCTGCCTTCCTCCAGCATCAAGGAAAGAGGGTTTGAGGCTGTTGGGCCAGGCCTACAACTTGGGCAATGCTTGCATCTTCCCCTGATGCAACCCCAGGATGCTCAGTGCTAGGGTGTGCCAGGGGAAGGAAGAGGAAGGGTGGGGGAGGTGGCCTGGGTCCACCATGGAAGGCCCACCTTACCTCTGCTGAGGATAACTGGGGTGGGACTAGGGTCTACTGTCTCTTATCCCAGTTGAGTTGGTCCCTACCCTGGTAGAAGAGAGCATATACTCTACCAAAAAGGGCTATTTGCCAGGTGGGGTCCCAAGGTCAGGGTTACACCCAGGGACCCAGATTGTCTTGGCAGCTTCTGGGGCTCTGATGCCAGGGCTGCTTGTTGGCTCTAGGCACAATGGACCAGTATTAGGTCACCTTATAACAGGACATACTATCCTTCTTTTGAGGTTGCCTTTCTTAAACTAGGAGCCAGAGTGGGGGCCCCTAAGAGCCTGTGACAGGTTGTCCATAATGCCCACAGTTCGTGGCTCCAGTCTGTCCACCACTCTTATTCCTGACTCTGACTGTCCTTTGACTTTCTGCTAGGTACTACTGGGAGCTCAAGATTCCTAAGGGAACAGGAACGTTCTGGCAGCATCAGATGGGCTGGCACAGCAGTGCCCTCCTCCCGTGAGTCTTGGTCCTTGTCACAGGCATGCCTGCCAGGTCACCTCTACCACTCCACTCAGATAGTCCCATGCTCAGGCCCTCCCAGGTCTGTCTCTCGGGTGACTATGCAGTAGACAGTCTATCCATGTGCAGGCCATATGTGTAAGGGACTCAGAATCACAGGGGGTGCTGGGTCTGGCAGTATAGGCCTGAAATCCCAGGTACTTTAGAAGCTGGGGCAGGAAGATAACAAATTCATGGTTAGCCTGGGCAATTTGGTAGAAATTTTAAAAGGGGTGGTGGATGCCAGTCGTGGTGGCGCATGCCTTTAATCCCAGCACTCGGGAGGCAGAGACAGGAGGATCTCTGTGAGTTCAAGGCCAGTCTGGTCTACATAGTGAGTTCAAGGACAGCTGGGGCTACAGGGAGACTCTGTCTCAAAAGACCAAAAAAAAAAAAAAAAAGGGTGGTGGTGGTGGTGGGATAGCTTAGTTATGGGGTACTTTCCTAGCAAGTGTGAAGCACTAGGTTCAATCCCCATACGAGGGGGAATGGAAAAGGATCATTAAGGGGCTGGGGATATAGCGCAGTCAATAGACTACAAACCTAGTATTCAGGAAGCCCTGGGTTTTATCCCCACAACTGCATAAACTGGTCATGGCAGTGCATGCCTGCAATGCCAAGCACTTAGGAAGTGGAGGTGGGAGGGCATTCAAGGTTATCCTTGGTTACACAGCAAGTTCAAGACTAGACTAGGCTACTTGAAAGCTTTTTCTAAAGAAAACTTCATTGGTGGCAGGCTGAGGTCCCCCAAACTCACTCAGGTTTGGGAGGGCAGAAGAACTCAGGCAAAGAGCTAACTGGTTGGTATCTTGGGCTTGGTGTGGTAGCCAAAGGAGATGAGGACAGAAAGGCTGGAGGGGCATCAAGGGAGGTCAGGCCTGCTGTGGAGGAAAGGCTATGGCACCATCAGGGCAGGGAGGAGAGCATGGGAATGTCTTCAGGGTAGGCACAGTGGTGCACACCTTGTGATCCCAGCATGCAGGAGGCCAAGATAGGAGAATATTGAGGTCAGCCTGGACTACATGACAATACCCTGTCTCAAAAAAAAGAAAAAATAAAAACCTATAAAACACTCAAAACCAAAACAAACCCACCCAACACTACCCTGTCTCAAAAACCCTCCAAACCCTTAAAACCAAAACAAAAAACTGACATAAATTAAACAACAAAAACCAAGCAAATAAAAACAAAAATGGGCACAGTAGTCTAATGAGACCTGTATAATGACAAAGCCAACTGACATGTCAAGGTGGATGGAGGAATGTCATGGGGTCCCACCTCAAGATAAAGAGCTACAGGCAATCAAAGGATGCTGGGGGAGGGAGAGTCAGTTTTCCCTAGGGGCTAGCTCCCTAAAAGTTATTTAATCCCAAATGGGCAGTCCAAAACACAGCTACACACAAGCACCACTAAATGGATTCAGTGCATTATATATATATATATATATATATATATATACACATATATGTATAATTGTATGTGTATGTAACTATGTATATAACAATATATGTATAATTGCATGTATATGTAAGAATAACAAAGAAGAGGACAAGAAACTGAAAGGGAGTAGGGGACATGGGAGGAGTTGGTGGAGGAGGGGGAGGGATGGAAATAATGCAAAGACAATACTCATATATGAAATTCTCAAAAATTAAAAAAATTAAAACAAAAGAATGGAATGAGTCTATGGCTATCTGGGTACCAGTAGGAGACATCTGGGCAGAGCCCTGCAGGAGGCAGGCTGAGGGGATCCCATGGGGCATATAACGGACGCTGCGTAGTGTGTTCTGACGTGGGGCTATCCTGGACCTGCTGTAGCTCTACACCTGTAGCATATGTGTTTGTGTGTAGGCACAGGTGTACCAGGGTCTTCCTGTCACTGAATGAGACAAACTCGAGTCAAACTCCCTCCTACTTTCTAAGCTCATTACCAATGCCAGAATTCATTCGTCCGTCTGTCCATCCATCCATCATAGCTAAGCCCTGAAGGTGTTGGAGCACGTAGGAGCCAAGTTCCTGGCCCTAGACCCAGAGAAAAATGCATCATGCTCTTAGATGTAGATTCACATTAGGCTGTGTGACCATCTGTGTGACCTCTGAAAAGCACCAGGACAGCAGAAAGGTCTTTCAGGGGCCACATGGTTGGACACTAAGCCACATCTAGGCGCAGGACGGCAGCTCCTCCCACGGGGCCCGGGAGATGCAGTACCGCCCACCGCCCCTCGGGGGCGCTTCGGGGCCCGGAGCCCGCTCGCTACCCGCTGAGCCGCGGCTCTGCACTCTCTCAGGCGGCTTCTTCCAGCTGGCTCCCAGCGATCCGGAGCTCCCCAGTGCTCTTGCCCAAGTTCCAGCCCCCTGTGTCAGCCAAAGCTCGGCTAGACGGCAACATGGGTGTCCCTGCGGTCTCGGAGGCCGGCTGCCCGCGCTGGGGGCCCCTGCTTCTCACTCTCTTCCTTGCTGCTTCCCGAGGTAAGGTCCGTGGGCTCCAGGGCGCTGGGGAAGCACACCCCGGGAGCACCGAGGAGTAGGGTGGGTGGGGGCAAGGCAGGATCAAGGTGCCCTGAGTCCCCTGAGCCTGCCGGGATCTCCACCCTAGCTCCTAGGCTGCTGGGACAGCCGGCAGGGTGCAGCCCCTCTCTGCCAAGTACCCAGGCTACATACTATATTGGGGCACATCTGTATGTGGTGACAGCTGCCCAAACAACAGGGAAGGGTGCCTTCTAGGGGTTGCCAGCTGGACTCTTCCCACCCCAGAGTGCCAAGGGGATCAGGCACTGAAAGTTTCTATAAGGCAGGAGAGGGACAGGATGAGGGTGCCCTGTGTTTCTAGTGAATGTGACTGGCTTTTGACACCTCTGGAATCTCCTTGCCCAGCTGGCTCCAGAGAGTCTCAGAAGGTTAGGGGGTGTGGTACTGTGAGCCAGTACCCTATCTATCCTTTTTGACACTCCTGGCTGAGCCTTGCTGGGATTCCCAAATGTGGGCAGCTCTGCTACCTGGTACATTTTCCCAGGGTCTGATGTCCTATTTGAGTGGGTTCCTGCCATCTGGCAAGATTGCAGCTCAGAGGCCAGTGTGGGCACTGGGAAAGATGTGGACACTCCAGCTCAGCCACAAACACATGCTAGTGACTTGGATAACTGATGACCTCTCTGGCCTCAGTCTCTCCAGCTCATATACTGAAGCCCCACACAGGGAGGTGCCACTTCTTGAGTCCAGATGGTTATAATTTGTGCCTTGTCCCGGAATACAGCGGTTCCTTGGAACCACAGCAGAGATCCTGATTCTTATCTTCCCAGAGCTGAACAACTCAAAGGAAGAGGGGATTCTCTGACAACTGGTCAAGCAGTGGGCTTGTCTGAGACTGCTTGTCTGTTTCCCTCTGCTCAGAGAGCCCAGGGGCACAAGTCCCTGTCACTGAAGGAGTCACAGGTGTCAGGATGGAGGTGCTGGGCTTGGCAGAGGGCACCAATGGACAGGTCAGAATTGAAGAGAGGGGAGAGTAAGAGGGAGGGGAGAAAGAACCATCCAGAGTCTTTTATCAGCACTGGGAGGCTGGCCTGGGCCTCTGATAAGAAGGCACCCACACCCTGTAGACAGAGTGACCTAAGTCCTGGCCTGGATGCTCCCCAGTATGCCACCCAAAGGGAGGGACCAAGTGAGGGAGGAGCAGATAGGGCATGGTACAGTCCCAATACCAAGGCCAGGTAGGTGGCTCCTGGTAGGGAATGGCCTCCAGGTGCAGGAAATGGCAGTAGGTAGGAAGGCCAGTACTGTATTTACTGTGGGCCACCTGTCTCTCCCCAAGTGACTCCATGAGGTCCCTTCCCTACAGTCACTTGAATGGCCTGCTTTCTGTTCAGCAGCTCCAATTTAGGAAACCAAGTCTTAGAAGTTCAGAGTAGAGGGACCCGGCTTGCAGAGCATCAGACAGCAGAGAAGTCCTGAGAACACTCATTCTACTGTGCCTTCATAGCTAGGAGGCTCCATACCCAGAGCCCTTGGCTACTTAAAACTACGTGTGAGCCTAAGGCCACTACCTCTTGGCTTGGTTCAGGGAGGTAATTAAGACTCCGTGCAGCTTTCAGGAAAGGAGTCGGTGAACCTTCCTATCCTGGGGTTGCTCTGGCCTCAGCACTGGCTGTAATATAGGTGTAGTTACTCATGAGTGTTCCTCCTCTTTCCTAGAGTAGGCCTGGTCAGGCGGTCTGGAGGCTGAGAGCACTCATCAGCTAGCCAAGGTGCTGGGTTGCCCTGTTGCAAGGTTGGGGTGAAATGGAGGAGCTGGGGGGATCCCCAAAGGGTCAGAGCTTAGGAGCCTGGAATACACAGAACACACACCTTTCCCGGCCTGACAAAGGCTGGGGCAGGGGGAAGGGTACCTTGGGAGCCAGAGGCCAGCAGACTCCAAGCATTCCTAAGTCATGAAATTACTGCCTTTGCCTGTCCTCATAGCTGACCAAGAGCTCCAACTGGGGCCATCATATTCACACAGGTGCACTGGGGTGAGGGAGAGGTGGCCACTTTCCCTTTCATGGTAAACAAGACTGCAAGGCCTTATTGAGTAACTCAGTGCTGCAAGCCTATGACCCAGCAGTGGTCAGCTCTTAGGAAATCCATGAGCCCTGCCCAGAGGCAGGATACCCAGGGGCTAGAAATACCAGAGGAACACTGTGCTGGACTGGCTGCAGGGCAGAGGTTCCCCTGCTGGGGTCTGGCCTTCCTGGGAATGTGGGTCCAGGAAAAGGTATCCAATGGGAATCTAAAAGGGCTACCTCCCTGTCATCAGGGTATAGTACCTTGGGCCTGAGCAGTAGAAATGGAAGGTCCTCAGAGCTCATCTGGCCTGTTGGTACTGACTGAACCTGGCATACTGAGCTTGAGACCCTAGGTTTAAAGAAAATCACTGCAGAGCCAGTCTGACTAAAACAAGGGCTTGTGGTACATCAGCATGCCAGGCCTTCCTCTAGCTCTAGCTTCTTAGACTTATGTTTGAATCCTAACTTGGAGCCTAGTGTGGTGGTACACACCTTTAATCCCAGCACTTGGGAGTCAGAGGCAGGCTGATCTTTGAGATCGAGGCCAGCTTGGTCCACACAGTGAGTACCAGGCCAGCTGAGGCTACAGGGAGATCCTGTTTCAAAAACAAACATGTAAAAAACCCACAGAAACAGAACAAAACAAAAAGCTGGCTGCCTGTGACCTGGGCAAGCTTCTTAGCATCCCTAAGCAAGTCTCCATCCAACATGGGGCAGCAATCACTCCTCGCTCAGACATGCTGTGTACAGCAGAGGAGTGAAACTTCCCACAGTGCCTGGTCCTTGTGCATTTGGGACACCATTTCATCTTCTGGCTTCTGGGGACCCCATGCCAATGGCTTTCTTCCTGAGCATCTGCTACCTACAGGGCCCTGCTGATGCCCAGGACATAGGAAGGCACAGAAAGTACCACTGGGAATAGATTTCCTAGATTCCTGCAATCTGAAGGATGCTGGGTTGGGCAGTCACTCCTCAGGACTAAGAGTCTGAAATTCTTACAGGGGTACCTGGAGGTTTTCCTCCAAAGTCCCCCAGATGTGGGGCCATCACAGCTTCCAGTGCTGGCTAATTCACCAATCATTCTGTAAGGAACTTGCCACTGAACAAGGTTTTCGTCATTGGGTCCCACCTTCCAGGGGGACCTGGGGTCCAGACCTACCTAGGCTACTACAAGGCCCCAAATGTATACTTCCCCTGATGGTCAGCTGAGTGATGTGGTCTCAGTGGGCCACTGCTCCCTGGAGGGTAATTCCCCTTGGGTGCTTTTTGGGTTAATTGCTCATCACTTGTGTGTAGTATCTTCCGAGTACCTACCCACTTCTTTTTCCTTTAAATCTACACATTTATTTATTTTTTTAAAGTAAGTAGATTTTTAAAAGGAAATTTTCTATCACGTTCACAAGTGGAAAAGCCAGTATCATCAGCCATAAATAGAAAAGATCATAAAAGTACATCACTGGCAAACCAAATAAGGGAATTAAATGCTAGTTGGGCAAGGCTCAGTATGTGAAACCTGCTGCTATCTCTTGTAGAAATAAATTAATTAAAAATAAAAAAAGAAATGGACATTAGGAAGTGGCTGAAAGGACATTTTGAAAATATAACAGCATCATTTAGAAGTTTCTCTTTGACATAATCCAGGCTGAGAGAAATCTGAAAAGGGAATAACCGTCTCTCTGTATGATTCAATGATATTTAATGTAAAACCAAAAGTAAAACTACCCCTAAGTAATTAATGCTGCTAGGCAAACAAAACCCTCATTGGTGAGGTCAGCTTTCCATCTGTGGGAAGGAGGTGGAGCCAGTCTATAGAAAACCTCAGAGCTCTGGAGGCCTGGGTGGGAATCCTGGCTCTCCACTTAATCTCCTGTGAGACTCTAGACAGGTTCCTTACACGGTCTGTGCTTTGGTTTCCTCATCACAGTGCCTATTTCACAGGGTTAGGGATTAAATAAGCAAATCCACAGACAAAGCCCACCACAAAGTAGCTACTACCACCAAATTAGCCCTTTGCATGGATGGAATCAGATCTTAGGACGTCTCCCCAGCGAGAGCCCTGAGGAGCTGGTAGTGTCTGGCCATGGTGCACAGTTCTCCTCAGGGAGGCCTAGAGTCTTGGATAGAATCCTCTAGAGGAGCCTCCCCTACCCATGACCCTGGCCTGCTGCCCAGGTCCTCCCCAGGAGGCCCACTGGCTGGGGCTTCATCCCCGGATGCAGGCCAGTTTTCCCAAGGTGCTGGAAGCTGGCTTCCTCCCATAGAGTCTTGCTTCCCCTTCCCGGCCTCCTTAGTTCATGTGAATGGACACTTCCTGCTGGGGCAGGGATCAATAAACACATCTGAGATGCCCTTTGTCCTCTCTGCCCAAAGAGCCCTCTGCCAGACTTGCTGGCTTCAGCCTGCAGTCTTCGCCCTGGAGCACTTCCTCAGAGTTTTGATTGGGCCCTGCTTGTTTCCTTCTGTACCTTGCATCTTGAGAAACAAATAACCTAGCCTTTCCCTGCCAGCACCTGTGGACCATCCTGGGGAATGGGGCCTGTGGGGAGGTGGGACCAGTTCCCATGCCTGGAAGCCAGGGACAGGGTCTCAAGTGTGGGACCAGTAACTTCAGGCAGTTAAATAACTGTTTACTTGGCAACCTAGCAGCTGGGCAACCTCAGCTGTCTGGGTGGGGACTTCCTGGCCTGACCAATCAAGCTCAGGACCCACCTCCAAAAGCTGAGGTGTTGCCCTGGTTACTGTGGGTAAAGCTAGAGCCAGTGAGGGAAAATACAATGTGAGAGCCTGTCTCCGCCCACACACACCCATCCCCTGATGGTGGCAAGAGGTAACAGTCTGGACAACAGGCCCAAGAGGATGCCATGCAAGAAGTCCTTTGAAACTTTCCCTGCTTCTCTGCTGGAAAAGGCAGAAAGGGCTCAGTTCCAAGCA